AAAGTGGTGTGTGTGTGTGTATGTATGTATGTGTGTGTGTGTGTGTGTGTGTGTATATATATATATATATATAAAATGAAATATTATCCTGATTAAAAAGGAAGAAAATTCTGACACATAACTACAACCTGGATAACCATGAGACGTTATGCTAAGTGAAACAAGCCAGTCATAAAAGGACAAAAATTGTGTGATTCCATTTATACGAGGTACCTCTAGAGTAATCAAATTCACATAGAGAGAAAGCAAAATGGTGGTTGCCTAGAGTAAGGGGGCGGGGTGGTTGGGGAGTTAGTGTTTAATGGGTAGAGTTTCAGTTTGGGAAGATGAAAAAGTTCTGGAGATAAATGGTAGTGATGGCTGCACAACAATGTGAAAGTACTTAATGCTACTGAACTGTCCACTGAAAAATGGCTAAAATGGTAAATTTTATGTTATGTATATCTTATCACAATTTTTTTTAAAGCAATGTTTTCTCATGCCTTAAATCATGCCGAATTTTAATCTATAGGTTGCTTTCTCTTTTTGAGGGGGTTGGGGAGGAAGAAATAAGGAGGAGAAAAAAGAGTTGAGAAGCTTTCCTAGTTTCTCACCTGGAAAGTAAGCAAAGAAATGGACTGTGGCAAAAATCTGTATTCTTGAGAACGAGGTCCAACTTAAAAAAAACTTTCTCCTTCTCTTCCCAACAAACTTCTACTGGCCATCTGGACCAACACTCAACGTGTACTTCCTTCATAAGTTTTGGTAAATTTTGAATTTGATTTTACACCTAAAGAAGCCTAAAATTCTTTTACTATTACTCTCTTTAAAATCTACATTGATCAAATAATGAAAGCAGAACCAACTGCCCGAAACAGTTGGCTTTAACCCCAACACCTCTGCCCAGAGACAGAATTAAGCCTTACTCCTCTTTGAAGGTCTTACTCAGGGACCAGTCAGCTAGATCAAAAAGACGCCTGTTTTAGCAAGACTCAGTCACCTACTAAGAGACTTTCTCTACTCCAGACCAAATATACAAAGCAATATTGCCCAAAGAGTATACTCAGGACTGAGGAATGCGATAATTTATGAATCCCAAAGGAATCAAGTTTGCTTAATGACCATTGTACATTTCTGTTCATCTGGAGAGAAGGATGGAGCACCAATCATATCTCAGTCCTACAGTTCTGGGAAAGTATAATGAGACCACGTCTCTTCCAGTGATAATTTAGGGTAATGACAGCTTTATGCTTATGGCATTTTCAGAAATTTTATTCAAAGTAGTACATGAGCTTGGTGCTCTACATACAGCCTAATCAGAACAAGAATGCTCACGATATTGGTACCGTAATATATGCCAATTTCTCCCCAAACATCATTTCTTCATTAACATACCTATCAGTCTACTTTTAAGGGTATTTTTTTAAAATTTTAGTATAGTTGATTTACAATGTTGTGTCAGTTTCAGATATACAGCAAAGTGATTCAGTTATACATACATATATTCTTTTTCAGATTCTTTTCCATTATAGGTTATCAAGATATTGAATATATGTAGTTCCCTGTGCTATATAGTAGGTTCTTGTTGTTTATCTATTTTACATATTATAGTAGCATATATATGTTAATCCCAAACTCCTAATTTATCCTCCCCTCCTTTTCCCTTTGGTAACCATAAGTTTGTTTTCTATGTATCAGTCTATTTGAAAAAATCTACTAAATTTATAATCACCAAAAGCAATAAGTGTGACATGATAGGGTCTATTTCTTTTTTTTCAGAACTTGGCATCTGTAACACAAAAGGCATTATGGTACCAACTAAAAACTGCTTCATTTTATCCTGAAATATACACGTGAGCAGAAAGGAGGACTAACTAAAATCCACACATGCTTCTCCAATAGATGTTGAGTCTTAGCCTCCATCTTCATAGAATTTTTTAATAAATTCTGATGAGTCAGTTTTGACTTGCAGTTCTAGGAGTGCTAGGAAGCAGTGACAACGGTCTGAGGCAGAGAGAGAGAGGAAAACAAAAACTAAGGGGGCGGAGTGGTCCCTAAACCAGCTCATTTGGTCTTTAATAACTTGGACAACTGTACCGATAACTGCATTAACTAGGGGGACAACTTTAGATTTAACATTTTAATAGCTTCTTTAAATTGTATCCACCCAAGAAAATTTAGATATATTAAGAACTAAATCAATGAGATAACCAATCACTAAGATACTGATTGGTACTTGGGGGAAGAAATACAAGTAGCTAATTCAGGATTCCTACTCTCAAGGAGTTTACTAATTATGAAGAAAACACTTACCCCATACATGAAAATACTTGAGAACATAGCAACTCTGGGAAAATATATGCAGAACTATTGCTAAATGGACACATATTCCTTCATGGAAAAACTTATGCAATCCTTAAATAAGAAGATAAGTAGAAAAATGGGGGGAGGGTATAGTTCAGTGGTAGAGCCTGTGCTTAGCACGCACGAAGTCCTGGGTTCAATCCCCAGTACCTCCATTTAAAAAAAAATTCGAAGTAGAAAAATTACAAAGACCTAAAAATATTACATATGCAGTTCTTTAATACCATCAGGATTTTAAATTAACTTTTTAGTGTAACTGCAGCTCAAAGTTAAAAGCAAATGATCAGCTGATGTCCAGAAGGAGACGGCAGTGTTGGAATTCTACAGATGCCTTAGATAATACTGAAAAGTCATAAAGTGTTAAATTCACATGAAATTTAGCACTGGTTTCTGCATTCTAAAAATCCATTCAGTTAATATATTACTTCAAAATAAATAAGTAGCATCTCTTAGTAAAGTTATGTCTTTATGGATACCTTCCTATCAAGCAGTAAGCTTGAACAAATTAATAGAGAAGTAAAGAGAAAAGAAAATACAGTATTATGTCATTTATCCAGGGCCATCAAGGAATCATACCTTTTTGTAAGTAAGTGATTTCTCTAGATAGTGACAGCTCCATCTTTAAACACAGATAACTTTTTAAAACTTTAATTCTTACATGGGAATCTTTCTAAAATGCCTTACTACATAATTCATGGAACATAATTCATCCATTCCCCAATGACATAAGCTAAATATTACAGGCATTAATTTCTATACTGCACTTCAGTGAAGCTCTCAGGCCGCTGGACTGTACGGAGGGTCATTTGCTCCTATACTGAATAGTGCCAAACTGCTGTGCTTGTATAGTTCATCCA